CAGCTGGGACATATTGGCACATGAAATCCAACAGCTGTGCAGCCCAAATGAATTCAATCATTTAAAGTATGATAATCCAGATGTAATGTGAGTATTACACAGTCATAGACTGCTGTGTGTCACACCAGCAGGATCTGCAGGCCTGCTTCCTGTTTTTGTGTCATGTCATGCCTCCATCTTGCCAAGGTCACAGGTAAAGGAAAAGAGGTTAAGGTAGCGAGGGAAAGTCAAAGGTTATTGGGAGAGAATCTATACACTGGCCGAGCCTAAATACTGAGAGTAATCTTCCTTACCTGCACACGTTTGTTTTTCCACAAGATATTGTAAGCCTCAGAAGAGAAGGGGAGCAGGCAAGCCCGTGATTAGTGATGGATATCAGCACATAAGTGGGACCAACACATAACACAACTGAGCATACACATCTATGCACGACGGGAGGAGTGCAAACAGTGCTCCGGATCAGAGTGCACAGTCACTGCAGGCTGTAACCAGGAGCAGCCAGCACAGACGTGTCAGTGGACAGGCAGACCATGCAAGAAGCAACGAGTGCTGGAACTCTGGGAACACCCCGATCTGCATCGAACGCACATATGTGACACGCAACCAGCAGCTCAAAGGACAAACATGGTGTACATGGTGTACCAGTCAGTGCTTCAGAGGCAGGACGTTCACAGGAAGTCCAGACTGAACCACAACAGGCTTTCATAAGAGCTCAGCCGAAGCACAGCTGACTGCATGAAGCGTTTACTTTAACCTGCATCTGACTGATGGATCTGCTGTGCAGGGATTAATTTAAGCTCAAAGTGTCTGCATATTCAGTCATGTGATAGATCAAATTACACTAAATATATAAAAGATTTTACACATTTAAAGCTGTAAAGTGATTTTGCCCATAAAGCCGGTGCAACGTAAGAATGAGCTTTATAAAAACTGCCGTTAGAAGTTGCAGGACAGTCAGCAGCAGGCGTGCAGAGCACCACAGTCACGGCTTTAACTTTGACAATAATTTTGCATATACAGCACAAAGGACTCACAAACGTCATCTCTAACAGTGCAATAAAAGAGCAGCATCTGATAGATGAAGCCAGAGTGTAACTAGTTCTGCTGTTGACTCTTCTTGTTGTCTCTTAGTGCAACTACAACATGTAATCACAGCCCACACCACTGTGCTGCTCACTGGTGGATCCTGCAGAAATGTTGAGATGCTGATGTTTGATTCAACTACATCCTTGAAACCACCGATGTTTAACACTCATGCGCTCATGCACTCCCACCAAGAAGCCATGCTAACCCTGCTAAGTACCCTGTCTAGCCCACTCGTGTTTCTATGCTGCTCTGCACAAGTAACACCCTCAGAGTCCAGTATGACAGGTAGGGTCTGTGGGGGGGAAACAGGGACACATACAAGTACAGGAAACTTTAAAGGAAAAAGTTACAAATAATAAAGTGGATCCAAGCACAGGGGAGGACACAGACTCAGATTAACAAAGAGAAAGCACGATGACAGCAAGCAGCACGTTCACAGCCATGTTACCTTCTTCATGTTAGCACCAACATAACTCTTGGCCTCCTCTTTGAACTGGGGGAGTCTGTGAAGAGACATGAACATGTTACAACATCCCATCGACAGTCTGACATGAATCACCAACCTCGCCCACGCTTCTTAGATGATGTGAGTGATTAGAAATGGAAACACACCGACAGTCAAACGACTGGACACACATCCTCATTTAATGGGTTTATTTTCAATTTCTATTGTAATCTACGGAGCTCATCCAGGTTTAAGGTCCCATCCCAGACGCCTTGATGTCCACTCACGTCTCGGGTCATTTGATAAATCACATGATAGGGTGGGGCTAGGTCTCCCAATGGGTTCATCCAAACCCATTGGGATACTGACCCACAGCTGTTCACACTGTGGCTCATGTGATTAGGCAGATGGAGGGTTAATGAGTCTCTTAAAGGACAGCTTCAATCTCTCCACCAGTTCCTCTTAGAACTGAAGAAGCTTCTCAGATGAAACCTCGTCCAGAAACTCAAAGACGTCACTGTTCCTTCCGAGCTCTTTCGATGATCGTGACCTGGCTGATCGAGGACACAGACATGATAGCCTGAGCTCTGATCCAATTACACGTCTCCAGTATCTTTGCTGTTTCACTGAGAGGGTTCAGGCTCACACAGCACAGACGCATCCCACGCTTGATAGCGTCGTGTGCTTGAAGTAGGCCTCTAGTGTTGCTCGCCATCAGCGTCCTGTTGATCTTGTGGTGTTCTAGGAATCCCAGGATCTACGAGGCATTTGTAGACCTTCTTGTCCTGACGTATTCATGTACTGAGCCATGTGCATCATGTACTCTGCCACTGAGAGCACAGCTTGGATGGCTGAGTGGAGAACAGCTGGTTTATTCTCATGACTTCCTTCTCTACCTGTTCAGGCAGTAAGCCGAGGCCATGCCATCCTAAGACGCCTTGATCTTGGACCCATCTTGGAGGGTGAGGATGATGATATCTCCCCCCTGATGTCCTGGCTCCTCTTCGTCATAGCATTTACATCGTACATTGTTAATCTCTAGTTGTGATAGCAGTTGCTTCTTCCGAATGTTGGAATGCTGACCTACTAGTCGTTTCGCCGTCAGTCTGGATGTTGGCTGTCGAATAGGGCTGCCACGATTAGTCGACTATCGAAATCATCGACGACTAATCAACAGCTTATTACAGCAAATGTAATGTGTCTGCATGACAGAGCCAAAGAAAAACTAATTAAAGTTTAAATCAAATTTGACTGGTAGTCTTTGAAAAGTGTCCAGTGATTTGTTGACGTCACAGCAGTAATTCTGTGCCTTTATTAGCGTGTATGTGTGTGCGTGATGTACACGTGCGAACACAGGAAGTTCACGCCTCCCTGTTTATTTAGGCAGAGGCTTTAAATAACTGTTGTATACTGGCCCAGAGGTGGAAACTGGCTCCTGCAAGGACACTGCTTTAAGGTTATTTAGTGCATCCTTTAGCCCTGAACCAAAAAAGCTTAACTCTCACAAAACACTAACAACGACTTTTTGATTAAAACTCTACAAAAGTACAATAATAAATAATAAAAACCCCAAAAGAAAAAACATTTAGCACTAAACACAGAGCCTGTCATCAGCTGCTTAAGAGGAAATATCCCTGTAAGAGTGTCGGCACATTCAGTGAAGCAGCAAACGTAGTGTGTTAGTGTCACCAGGTTTCTGTGAAGCTAAAGCTTCATAATGATGAGATCAGAGCTCATCAACATCCACGC